AGAGAGAGAGAGGGAATTTTCCAACATTTATTTTCTAGTTCTCGGTGGACACAACATCTTTGTTGGTATGTGGTGCTGAGGATGGAACCCGGGCCGCACGCATGCCAGGCGAGCGCGCTACCGCTTGAGCCACATCCCCAGCGCCAAGTTTTATTCTTATTCTTTAGGAAAACTCCAATCATTTAGAGGATCATTAAGGGAAGGAATCTTAAATAAAACACAATGCTCCTAAAAAGACAAAATTACAAATTTGTCCTTGAGGCATGGGCATGGAGGCCCACACCTCTAATCCCAGCTACCTAGGAAGCTGAGGTAGGAGAATACAAGTTTGAAGCCAACCTTTGCAATTTGGTAGGACCCAGTTTCAAAATTAAAAAAAAAAAAAAATGAAAGAGGGCTGAGTACCAGGCACGGTAGGGTATGCCTGTAATCCCAATGGCTTGGGAGGTAGAGGCAGGAGGATTGCAAGTTCAAAGCCAGCCTCAGCAACTTAGCAAGATCCTAATCAATTTAGCAAGACCCTGTCTCCAAATAAAATGCCAAAAAGGGCTGGGGATGTGGCTTACTGATAAAGCACCCCTGGCTTGCATTCCCAGGACTGGAAAAAAAATGTAAAATTATGACAAATTTACTTGTGATCTAGTTGGCTTTTGTGTGTGACTTATAATGAGAGCAGCCCTCCAATCTACAAAACAGAATGGGAGGCTTCACTAGGCAACAGCATAACAGAGGGATTTGTAAGGGGAGGACAAGAAAACAACCAAACAACTCTGAACAGAGACAGAGTAGTTACCGTCAGGTTACTTTTTGGTAAGGGTTAAAGCAGAGGGCTTCCTTATTTTGTGACTCTACACTGAAATCTCCCGTTTTCAGGAAAAGCTGGCGTGTTATGGGATCTATCACTCTTGAAGTTTCATTTTGATTATGTGTCATTTCGTATGAATAAATCCATTTTGGCTTGGTCTAATCTGTTGGGAACTACTCCAGGGGCTCAGGGGCTCAGTCCAAAACAATGTCCTCCCATAATTTTGTTTAACAGTCCATATTATAACTATCTATCTTTACTTAGAAAATAAAATAGAACTGTAATCCCAGCTACTTGGGTGGCTGAGGCAGGAGGATTGTAAATTCAAAATCAGCCTGAAGCCGGGCCCGGTGGTGGTGCACGCCTGTAATCCTAGTGGCTTGGGAGGCTGAGGCAGGAGGATCACAAGTTCAAAACCAGCCTCAGCAATGGCAAGGTGCTAAGCAACTCAGTGAAACCCTTTATCTAAATAAAATACAAAATAGGGCTGGGGATGTGGCTCGGTGGTTGAGAGCTCCTGAGTTCAATCCCAGTACTCTGTTCGCCCGCAAAAAGACCAGCCTGAGAAACTTGACCCTGTCTCAAAATAAAAAATAAAAAGGGCCAGGTGTGGTGGCACATGCCTGTAATCCCAGTGGCTAGAGAGGCCGAGGCAGGAGGATCACAAGTTTAAAGTTAGCCTCAGCAATTTAGTGAAGCTGTGAGCAACTATCTCAAAACTTTTTCAAAAGGGCTGGGGATGTGGCTCAGTAGCTCGGTGCCCCTGGGTGGTTCAATCCCTGGCACCAAAAAAAAAAAAAAAAAAAGAGTTAAATAAAATAAAAATGATCCTATCTCAAAACTTTTCAAAAGGGCTGGGGCTATTGCTCAATAATAGAGTACCCTGGCTTCAATTCTCAGTACCAGAAAAATAACATAAGAATACCTCAAGGACAAATCACATTATTAGAGAAATTTGAAAGAAGTGGTGGTATCACCCTGGGAAAAGTTTACAATTTGTAAGGATGATAAGAAGAAACAATGCCGGGCACAGGGGCTCCTGTGACAGAGTGCCCCCAGGTTCAACTCCCTGGGTTAAGGAAGGAAGGAAGGGAGGGAGGGAGGGAGGAAGGAGAAACAGAAGATTCAAACTTGGCCTGTAGAGAGGGGAGGAGACTCCAAACCCAACTGGACAGACAAGGGCAGATGGAGAATGAACTTAATAAATATGCCAGCAGTGGGACTGGGGATTATAGCTCATGGGTAGCAGCATGCTTGCTGCTCATGTGCAAGGTTAGCCAATTTATTTTTTCTTTTTCGTTTGTGGAATGAATGAAATGGAAGGAAGGAAGTTACCTGCCCTCCTGAGAACAAGTCCTGAGCAATACTTCCTGGAAAAGCAGGAAGTCTGAAAGAGGTGGATACTGCCCTAGTCACGCAGGTAGTTCAGTTCAATTCAGGAACTTGGCAACTCTCCCTGTGCCAGGCGGTCTACAAGGATATGAAGCCACCTAGAATGAGTAAGGCATTTCCTTCAAGGAATTCGAGTTCCTTCCATAAACACAGGCCTGCCTTGTTACAACATTTCGTGCCAAGCAGTGTACTAGATATATATTATCACATTCAGCCTCACAATAATCCTATCAGGCAGGAGTTATCACTCCCCTTTTACAGACGAGAAACAGGTTTAAGGTGACTAAGTAGTTTACTGCCAGCATTAATGGCAGAGCCAGGATTCAAACCCTGCTCATCTCACAGAACTATACTTACAGATACAGAAGCCAGGAGAAGAAATGATCAGCCTTGGAAAGGCTTCAGTGAGATAATTCAAAAAACAAAAAACACTCATACAACAAATAAGTAGTTCCCAGTACCTACTAAGCCCCAGGCACTGGGCTTATCTCACTGACTCTGTGAATGAGACAGTGGTATTGCCTCCATTTACAGATGAGGAAACTCAGAGAGCTGGGGTTAGTCAGGTGGTGTTACGTGTTTCACTGCCACTAAGCCGATTTGATGTGGTTCATGAGGCAACATCATGGACAACCCCCTTCTTGCTTCCGCTGAGGGTATACTTTTTTTTTTTTTTTTTTTTTTTTTTGCAGCAGGGACTGATCCCAGGGGTGCTTAAATACTGAGCCACATCCCCAGCCCGTTTTTATATTTTATTTTTAAATTTTGAGATAGGGTGTTGCCAAGTTGCTGAGGCTGGTCTTGAATTTGCGATTCTCCTGCCTCAGCCTCCAAAGTCGCTGAGATTAGAGGTGTGTGCCACTGTGCCTGGCAGAGGGTACAGCTTTGTACAGCGCATTCCAGTTTCTGAACTCCTTCACCAACCTCCCAGTCCTATAGAAAGGAAGAGCGGTTATTATAATCTGCATCTGATGATAGAAGAAGGGAAGCCATGAGAGGTACAGTGCCAACCACTCCCTGTCTGTCATGCCACCCAAGTGCTAGGTCCCACGCCTGCACTTCACTGGTTAGTGACTCCCCTTAGCTTCTCCATGAAGACTTTCTGGATAAATCCCTATTCAGGAAGAGTCCCTCTTCATCCCGGGGAACTCTCCAAGCAAACTTGTTACCATTTCTGCCTTTCAAAATATCTGTGTCTGCTTTGGTGTCTCATGGGCCCCTCGGGGGCAAAGACTGTATTAAACATGTACAGAGCCTCAGTATTTTGCACAGTGAGCCTCTTCTTGTTCTATTTTTTAAAAAATTTGTGGTACTGGGAATTGAACCCAGGGGTGCTCTACCACCACTGAGCTACATCCCAGCCTTTTTCATATTTTATTTATTTTAATTTATTTTTCTGGGCTGACATGGGGAATTGAACCCGGGGGTGCTTTACCATGGAGCTGTGTCCCCTTTTTTATTTTGAGACAGAGTGTTGCTAAATTGTTAAGGCTGGCCTAGAACTTGTGATCTCCTGCCTCTGCCTTCTGAGTTGCTGAGATTACAGGGATGAGCCTCTTTTTATTAGAGTCATTTTATTAGCAGTGTGTGTGTGTGTGTGTGTGTGTGTGTGTGTGTGTGGTGTGTATCTATCCCTCCACTGGGAACTGAACCCAGGGTCTTCCACATGCCAAGCAACCACTCTCTTAGGGAGCTACATACCCAACCCTTATCAGTATCATTTAAATCTTTCTCAAGGTGTGCCTGTTGTAATCTCCCTTCTTTTGGGATTTGGGATCCATTACCCAGTTCTTTACTGAAAACTTTGTTCCAGGCTGTTCTCAGAGTTGTCATACACTCATACCTTCCAGAGTTTTATAAAGTGTATAATCTCAACAGCCCAGAAGTCCACTGCCCATTACAAATATGGCGGTGATTGCCTCATTTCCTGTGTCATGTGACTCTCCCTTAGTCATCACATGACCCATCCACTTCACATTGCCGGAATTAACCCGCAGGGCTAGCCCAGTTCCTATAGCTGCAGTAGATAATCTGAATCCTTGTTTTTATTTAGTGGATCCTCTATCCCTCTGAGAGTGTGGAACTCCTGAGGTCTTCTTATCCAGTGACTGTGAGGTGATGGAGTTTTCAAGTCATTTTAAAGAGGTGAGTGAGCCATAGGTCTCCATTGGTCTTGTCATGCTGCTTCTGAAATCCTGGCCATCAGGCTGTGGAATTCGATGAATGGCAGACTCTCTTTGAACCCAGGTCATCAGGGTTCTTTGAGAAAAACACATATGGAGGGAGGGGTTAAGGTAGAAATGGGCAGGAAGAGAGTGAAAGCAGTCCTTGTTTTTGGAGGGCAAAGAGCTGTCACCAGCAGTCAGATTGCAGGGAGGGCTGCACCCAGGTGTCTGTGGGCCTTGTCCCCTCCTTTTTTTTTTTTCTTTTTGGTACTGGGGATTGAACTCAGGGTCACTCGGCCACTGAGCCACATCCCAGCCCTATTTTGTATTTTATTTAGAGACAGGGTCTCACTGAGTTGCTTAGTGCCTCGCTTTTGCTGAGGCTGGCTTTGAACTTGTGATCCTCCCACCTCAGCCTCCTGAGCCGCTGGGATTACAGCGGTGTTCACCGCACCTGGCTTGTCCCCTCCTTAATAAAGGTGGGAGACTAGGCTGGGGGTACCCAGAGGCAGTCAAACTCTGGGGAGTAGCTGACAGGAAGAGAGGGGCTTGCCTTCTAGCCATTTCTCATTCTGTTCTCAGGTGGGCCCAAAGCACCCGGGCAGGGTAGTCGTGGCTGCCAGCCTCACAGGATTGCTTCTGCTTCAGGCAGTGTCCTGGGCATCAGGTAAGTGAATCCAAGAGGGGAGGAGGGCATTGAGGCGCTCCCAGCCTCCTGGTCCTTTGGTAGTCTTCTGGTATGTAGGTGGGAGACTTTCGGAAGGTGCAAGATAAACTCCTGAATGACTGAGACCAGCCTTGAGGTGGGGGCACAGTGAGGGGATTTTTGAAACTGACGTTAATTTCTTAGCCTGCATGTCCATTCTCCTCATCCGCCTCCTTTGGCCCTTGCCTCTGCTTGTGCCCCTCCGTTCCAGGTGCCCGCCCCTGCATCCCTAAAAGTTTCGGCTATAGCTCAGTGGTCTGTGTCTGCAATGCCACCTACTGTGACTCTCTTGACCCCCTGACCTTCCCTGCCCTTGGTACCTTCAGCCGCTATGAGAGTACGCGTAGCGGACGTCGGATGGAGTTGAGTACAGGGACCTTCCAGGCCAATCACACAGGCACAGGTAATCACATGCCCTCATCCCCAAGCCAGGCTGGGTCTACCTGGAGCCAAGTCGTAACAGTGGTCACTACCGTTTCTCCCCTGTGACCGACAACCCTTCTTCCCTATGTGTGTCCTTAGGGCTGCTACTGACCCTGAAGCCAGAAGAGAAGTTCCAGAAAGTGAAAGGGTTTGGAGGGGCCATGACAGATGCTGCTGCTCTGAACATACTTGCCCTGTCACCCTCTGCCCAGAGTTTGCTGCTCAAATCTTACTTCTCAACAGAAGGTGAAGGGCGGAGAGGGCAAGTGACATTATGCAATGGACACGTTTGAGTTTTCCTTGTACTTTTTCACCCTTCCCTGACAGTTGACTCCTCTCTTCATGCCAATATAAATAAGATTGCCATGTCAATCTCTAAGTGCCTGGGGACTCCCAGGCTGAGAAGGACATGTTTCACCCAGGTGCTGACCTCCAAGGTTCCTAATTAGGGGCGTAAGTTCCCTTTGGCCCCATTGATGATCTCAACTTCCATATCTTACTCATCCTTTTCTGCAGGAATTGAGTATAATATCATCCGGGTACCCATGGCTAGCTGTGACTTTTCCATTAGCACATACACCTATGCCGACACCCCCGATGACTTCCAGTTGCACAACTTCAGCCTTGCAGAAGAAGATATCAAACTCAAGGTGGGCATTCTCACTGTCTCAGGCCCTAAAGATGCATCAATGTCTGGGGGTTGAGAAGGTCCAGCGAGGGCTATCGGCAGACATGGAACCTTCCCCTGAGGTCTGTTTTGTCCTGGGGTGGGAGGGTGGGAGCTGACGGCTGGACCTGAAGCACTGGTTGGGCTAGTCTGTGTCCCAGCTCTGGGTGTCTCTCTCCTCACTACCTTTGTCTTTAGATACCCCTGATTCACCAAGCCCTGAAGTTGGCCCATCGCCCTGTCTCACTCTTCGCCAGTCCCTGGACATCACCCACTTGGCTCAAGACCAATGGGGCAGTGAATGGGAAGGGGTCACTCAAGGGTCACCCAGGGGATATCTACCACCAGACCTGGGCCAAGTACTTTGTCAAGTAAGGGATCATCAAGGCCATGGAGCCTCAACCAACCCACCCTTTGGACACCTTGGTCTATGTTCCAATTCTACCTGCTTCCACTTCCAGATCTGACTCTGCTCAGCTTATATTCCTACCTTCTGGGTCTTGCAGACTCAGGCCTGTTGGTCAGGGTTCTCATTCCCCAGGGTCTTGGTCTAATTTCTTGGCCATGATTGCTCATGCCCTTTTTCTCCCAGGTTTCTAGATGCCTATGCTGCGTATGGGTTAAAGTTCTGGGCCGTGACGGCCGAGAATGAGCCTTCTGCAGGGCTGATCAGTGGGTACCCCTTCCAATGCCTGGGCTTCACCGCTGAACACCAGCGAGATTTCATCGCCCGTGACTTGGGTCCAACCCTTGCCAACAGTACTCACCGTGATGTCCAGCTGTTCATGCTAGATGATCAACGCCTTTTGCTGCCCCGCTGGGCACAGGTGGTAAGGCCCAATACCTCCATGGGTGTCCGTCCCAGTGACCCCCAAATATGCCATCCAAATGATTGGCTCCAAACTTAAGACTGCCTTCCCTGCCCCAACTCTTGACTTCTGTAGTACTCTGGACTGGGTCCAGGTGTCTAGGCCACCAGCCCCATCAGACATCCAGGACCCCGTGGTTGTTCCCTTAATCCCATTTTTCAGGACTTCTAGTTCCTCTTCCAGAACCCTCTCTGCTGGGCTCAGTGTCAGTGGCTCCCCTTCCCCAGTCGTCTTTCCCTTTCCCTGTGCAGGTACTGGCAGACCCAGAGGCAGCCAAGTACATCCATGGGATTGCTGTACACTGGTATCTGGACTTCCTGGCTCCAGCAAAATCCACCCTGGGGGCGACACACCGGCTGTTCCCGAACATGACGCTCTTTGCCTCAGAGGCCTGTGTGGGCTCCAAGTTCTGGGAGCAGAGTGTGCGCCTAGGCTCCTGGGATCGAGGAATGCAGTACAGTCACAGCATCATCACGGTGAGCCCCTGTCTCCCATCCTGCAAAGCAGACATCTCTAACCCCTTACCAAAGATCGAGAGCCCTCCTTGCCATCTTGCCCTCTGGGGCAATTTTGGGATATTGAGTCTATTCTGTTTTTCCTTCACATCTCATCACCCTTTAGCATATACTCAGGGCCCTGCCTCCAGTTTCTCAGCTTCCCTTGAAATGCCTCCATCTTCATAAACCCCTCTAGTGAGAGAGCCGAGCATGATGGTGCACACCTGTCATACCAGCTACAGGGGAAGCTGAGGCAGGAGGAGGGAAAGTTCAAGGCCACTCTGGAAACTTAGTGAGATAAAATTAGAAGAGTTAGGATGCAGCTTGGTGGTAGGCTACCCTGGGTTCAATCTCCAGTACTACCCCCTCAAAACAATTAAGGAGACAGGATTCCCCCTCATAGGGCTGAGCCACTCAAGGCCCCCAGCTCCCTCTGTGTTGAGCCTTTTTCCTTCGCTCTTGTCTTTACTCCAGAATCTCCTTTATCACGTGACTGGCTGGACCGACTGGAACTTTGCCCTGAATCCTGAAGGGGGGCCCAACTGGGTCCGCAACTTTGTGGACAGCCCCATCATTGTAGACATTGCCAAAGATGTGTTTTACAAACAGCCCATGTTCTACCACCTGGGCCACTTCAGGCGAGTACAGGGTGGGTGCCCCCATTCCACACAAGGCCTATCATCACCTGTGCTGGGCTTACATCACTCCATACCAGGAGGGAGCAGGAAGGCGTTTAGGGTGGCACCACTGGGAGAGACACGCCCATCCTCTCTTGCACCACATAGGCAGGAAGCAACTAGGTGGCATCAGAGACACACACAACCCCTGGGTGCCTGATGCTGGGGCGGGGATGCAGGAGGTCAGGGTCAGGGCCCAGCAGTACAGCTCGAGGCCTATAGAGTTAGGGCAGAGTTTGGGCAGGACTTATGGGTGGGGTGGGGGCTGGGTGGCTGAGTTCTTAGACGAGGGTTTGGCTGAGGTCCCTGATGATGCCTGTTCTCATATTTAGCAAGTTCATTCCTGAAGGCTCCCAAAGAGTTGGACTAGAGGCCAGTGAGAAGACTGAGTTGGAAACAGTGGCACTGATGCATCCTGATGGCTCTGCAGTTGTGGTTGTGCTAAACCGGTAAGGGTGAGAGCAGGTCTAGGATTGGCTGGGACGGGTGGTGGGCCTCAGCCGACTCACACTCTCAGCTTCTCCTCTCCTCCCCAGGTCCTCGAAGGATGTGCCTTTTACCATCAAGGATCCTGCCGTGGGCTCCCTGGAGACCATCTCACCTGGCTATTCCATTCATACCTACCTGTGGCGTCGCCAGTGATGGAGCAGATACCCAAGCAAGGACCTGGGTTCAGCATGGGCATTAAAGGGACAGAGTCAGCTCACATGCTGTCTATGGCTAAAGAGGGCACAGCAGGGCTGGGGTGAGCTTATAGTGACGTAAGCCCTTGGGCAGTGGTTTGGGTGACTCACTCTCCTCTCCAGTGGGTGCCAGGGGCTTGAGGCCCCTAGAGAAAGATCAGGAAACCCTAGTGTCCCCCCACCCGGCATGCTTGTGTTAGCTGTGTGCTGGTTCCTGTGGAAACTGGGCCTAGACCCAGGGTGAGCTCACTGTGTGTATTAAAACAGATGGAGTGGGAGTTAGGGAAAGGAGAGACTAGGAAAGCTAGACCCAAGCTAGGTACTATTTGTCTTTCCTGGAGATGCAAGAGTGAGCCGGTGCAGAAGCACTGTCAGCCTTCCGGCAGGAGCCAAGAGCCGTGGGTAGGCTCAAGCACCCAGATGCTCCCATGGCACATTGTTAGGAAAATGGGCTTCCCTTAAAGGAGAGAATGACTGCAGTCAGTGTGAGCAGCTTTATTCTTGGGGGCAGTACCCCATTTCTGGCTATACCAATAGTGGGGAGGCTAAGGGGCCTCTGGAATGCATGATAGTAGAAAAATCAGTCCTAGGAGCATGAGGACAAATCACTCCTCTTCATCCTCCTCAGCCATGCCCAGGGCCCGGCTGCCTGGGGTGCGGGCAGGCGTTGCCCTCTGGATGGAAACAATGCCACTGAGCAAAGCATAGCCCACCATGGCTGCCAGGCCTGCCAGCACAGACAGTATCTGGTTCCGACGCCGATATGGCTCTTCCTCAGTCTCTGGGCCTCCTGGTGTCTGGCGTGGGGGTGGCACCTCAGCTGAAGGGCAGAGGAGGAAGGTGGGCAGGGGATCCTGGATCTTGGCCCCCTCTTCCAGGGTTGTTCCTCCCATCTGCCACTTACCTCCATCCCAGGGAAAGTAGAGGCTGAGGATGTGGGCACAATAGGCACAGAGGTTATGCAGCCCCCGCAGGTGGGCCTGCAGCTTCCCACTGGGCAGCTTGGCTTGCAGCAGCAGGGCCAAGTGGCTAAAGACAAAGGCATCCAGGGAGGCGGGGCTGGAGAGAGGAAGAAGGTGAGATGGAGGGGGACCACTGGACAAAGGGGTCAAAATGGAGCTAGAGGAAGAGTCGGCCTTGAAAAGTGGGCTCTGGGAAGCAGGGAGGCCACCACAGGAGGCCAGGACACAAAGTTCTAGACCTGGGAATGGGGAGGGTTCCCCAGGTGGCGCCAGCCTGGCCCTGAATGGGGCTCTATCCCTGGGCTGCATAAAGGGCACATTGAGTGCCCTACAGCCCTGCCGGCCCCTCCTGTGCCTGGCTGTCCTCCCACCCCACCCTCCTATACCACTGAGGAGGCTTCAGCCCCACACACAGCCCTACTATCACCAGAGCCAGTGTCTGTCCTGAGGATCTCTTGGCCAGAGCCTGAGCCCACTCCAGCCCTAGCCCCAGCCCCAGCCTCTACATCTTCTTCTAAGCCACCCATTACACCACTGGAATCAGACTCACGCGTCTCCAAAGAAGAACTTCTGAGAGCCCAGGCGCTGAGAGAGAAGGGTCAGGCACTCCCGAGCTTCTTGGTACAGCTATAGGGAGAACGCAGGTAGGCTGCAGCTGTGGAAACAGTACCACCTCCCCTCCTGGGCACTCCCTTCCTGGCCATCGTCCTTGGGGTTCATGTCATACAACAGCCCCTTGTCCCAGAGCTACCTCCTTCTCCAGTTCTTCCTCGTTCTCAGGTCTGTGCTCCCCACATAGCAGCTGTAGCCGCTCCATGTACTGCCGCTGCATGCGGCCAGGCAGGAAGAAGTTGAGGGGAAAGGGCATTGCCTCTGCATACCACTTCCGGGTCACTTCCACATAGTTCTTGGTGTCTATCCAAAAAGTATGTATCTGGATTGGGTAAGCAAGAAGGAAAAGGAAGGCTAAACCAACGCACCGTCCTGACTCAGCCTATGCTGCTCTGTGTCTCCCTGTGGGTGTGGCATGACCACCTCCCCCATGAGGCCACTAGTGCTAGGAGAGAGATCTGGGTGCACTCACCAGCACTGGGAGCAGCTTTTCCTCTAGGAGAGACATGAAGGCCAGGGTGTCTGCCCCTTGCCGGGCTGACAGATCGTAATCGGCATTGTACTTCTGTTGAAGAAATACCCATGAGGCAGACACTGGGGGGTTGCATGGGTACTTCCCAAACAGGGAAGGGATGGTACCCTCCCTCACTGGCCTCTGAGTGTAGTGAGGTACAACGAGGAGCTTTTCCCACTGAGGCCCCCTTGCCTGGGCCCAGCCGGTAGCCTGTTGCTGTTGGCAGAAAGCCTGGGCCTTGGAGCCTGCTGGCCGTCAAGGTCCTGCGCCCATTGGGGGGAGGAAGGAAGGCCCAGCCACAAACTAGGAGCAGCTCCCAGAATTTCCACGGAAAGCTGGCAGCACGCCTGCTGACGACAACTTTCTAACAGCAACCTCACCGATCCAGACACCACAAAGCTAGCTGAGTGGAGATCAGATGCAGGTTGGCCTTAGCCCATGCCTCAGGAATAGGGGATGCCATTCCACACTCCCTGGACCCAGCGAGCTCATCATGCTCAGCACCCCCTGGCTTGTTCCCTCACAGCCTAGCTTTGACTATTTCTTCCACTTCACTCCATGGCCTTGGAACCACCACCACCACATACGCATTCCACCCGCTCCCCCAGGTCGAACCTGCTCTGCCTTCCCAAGCTTCAGCCTCTAATCACCCCCCTCCATATCCTGAGTAAACTTTGTCCCTGCATACCYTCTTGTGCATGATCCTTAAATCTCTCTGACCTCAGTATCTCCCCTGTGGAATCAGGATAGTAATCTTTTTCTCTCATTATGGCTATTAGGAAATAATTCAGGAGAAAACTCTTGGAATCTGGAAAAGCTCTGTTCATACATAAGGAATCAGGGCAGTGGCCCAGGCCCTGACAGGAAATTTGGCTTTTATCTAGATCTTATTTCTCCAAGCCTCTCAAGCTTCCACTCATTCCCCAACAATTTACCTGAGAAAGTACAAATGAGAAAGAGGGTCCCATTTCTGACAATGTGTTCTATTTGGAACCAGGCTAGAACTCTTGTAAGAGCATGCTTATTAAATCCTCTAGGTGTTTTGTGGGTTTTTTTTTTTTTTTTTTTTTTTTTTTGGTGCTGGGGATTGAACCCAGGGCATTGTGCATACAAGGCAAGCACTCTACCAACTGAGCTACATCCCCAGCCCAAATCCTCCAGTTTTATACATAAGAAGCTTTCAGATCAAGAGTCAATGACAGGGGCTGGGGATGTAGCTCAAGTGGTAGCACGCTTGCCTGGCATGCGTGCGGCCCGGGTTCGATCCTCAGCACCACCTACGAACAAAGATGTTGTGTCCGCCGAAAACTAAAAAATAAATATTAAAAAATTCTCTCTCTTTAAAAAAAAAAAAAAGAGTCAATGACAGAGTAAGAGTAAAGAACACAGCCTAGAACTCCCACTCTTTTTTTCCCATTCAGTACTGGGAATTTCAACCCAGGGGCAATCTACCACTGAGTTATACCCCTGGCCCTTTTATTTATTTATCTATTTATTGCAGCACTGGGGATTGAACCCAGGATCTTATGCATGTTAGGTAAAGCACTCTTCCACTGAGCAAAATCCCCAGCTTTTTTATTTTGAGTCAGGGTCTTGCTGAATTGCCCAGGTTGACCCTGCACCTATGAAACTCCTGCCTTGACCTCTTGAGTTGCTAAGATAACAGGCCTGTCACTGCACCCAGTTTCTTATTCTTCTTGCAATATTCTAATTCCCTGTCCTGACTCCAAGCCTTGTTCATCCTAAGCCCCATATCTAGCCCAAACTAGTGTTTAAAAACAGAGATGTAACCCTTAGAAGTACTTTTGAGTCCCACTTTTGAGGACCTCATCAGAGCCAAATGCTACTCTTTCTCTTCCATGTGTTATCAGTCTATGCCTCTCTCCCTCCCTGCCCAGTTTGCAGAAGGAACTATGCCCCTGGATGATCCCAAGGTGCTCTGGGCTTAATCTCTTTTTACTACATCACAGTGACAATGTAAGTCTTCCTCATCAGAATGTGTGCTCCTTGATGCTCTGGGTCATCTGTGTTGAGGTTGGCATATGTCTGGTGCTCAATAAATTAATATTGCACTGAACTGACTGAACTTCTCTCGTTTGCAGACCCCCATTCAAGCCACCTACCTCTTTTCGAAGGTGGGTGATGATCTTGTGTGGTACCGAGATGACTTCTCCATGAGTGGTCCGAAGGGCAGGCAGAGTTCCTGACATTGAGAAAGAAGTATGCCCACCAGATCCTTAGCTGCTTATTCATATGTATTTGTACTACATTACTGCCTGTTTCCTGCTCCTCCCCTTGCACACTCCCTTCCTTATCCCCTAGGGACTGGATACCTGAAGGGCTTCGCCAAGGGTTGGCGATCTTGTGTACCTTGAGTGGAGCACCAGTAAATCTGGCATAAGTCTGCAGGGAAGGAATCAGAAAGCACCGAGTTCAGGCCCATGGCCTCACGGGGGAACCAAGAACAGAGCTGTTCACAGAATACCATATGGGCCATGCCCTATGCTTAGCACCTTTGTACAAAAAAAGAGGTAGTCATTACTATTTTACAATTAGGTAAAACAGAGCTCAGGTTATGGACATGTGGATGATTACAAGTCAGCTAGGAAAATCCTTCCCTCTATCTCCCTTCTTGCATCAATCTGATAGACACTTATCCTTGGAAGATTCTAAATAGTATCCCTCTTCTTGGAAGCATGGACCACATCCTTCTTTGGTGGTCTCTTTCTACCCACATATCTTACGTTTTACAACAGAATATTTTATTAAACTTATTTCCTTTCTGCCAATAACTTGAAGGGAGTGGCCAAGTCTTATTTCTTTGCACGGCAATGTTATGCGTTTGGAAGAAGTCTAATACAAGCTTTTAAAATCACAAAGTAAATGAGTGTAGTGAACCAAGTCTGTCTGATTCCAAAACTCTACAGTCTGGCTGTGGGCTGTCTGGACCCACAAGCAATAAATGCTGTTTATGAGAAAGAGGGAGAAAGGGGGACTGAAAAGACAGGAATGGAAAGCTGAAGATCCCCGAGATGGTTCGGAAGGGATTGCCCCAAGGTCACACAGCCAGAGGATGGATAAACAAGGACTGGACCCCATCTCCTGAACCCTCAATCAGGCCTCTTTCCATTGCAACACGAATCCTAGGCGACTGTGGCGTGGGGCGCTGAGCCCACATCGGCCAAGTATGCTCTTTGACTCAGTTTCCCCCACGGCGCCCCATACTGGCGAGCCCTGGCCAGGTTCAGACGCTGGGCTAGTTCGGGCCCCCTCCCCACTCTTCAAGGGCGCAGCAGAGGGCGCCGGCGCCACTCCTCACCAGCACGGCCAGGCTATCCAGGTCCACTGACGGCAACCCCCAGCCCCCTGACCAGCAGAACAGCTCCATGGGCGCCGCCATCTTGCACGCCCTCTGTCCCGGAAGCACCTCCCCGGGAGCTTCTGCCCTCCCCTGCCCGGACCCGCCCCCCGCCGCCTCTCCGGAGGATCGGGGCGGGGGGCCTGGGGAGGCCCCTGGGGAGGCGCGGCTTCCCCGGGTCGGAGAGGCGGCCCGCTGGCGGGAGGCGGAGCCGCGAGCTTCGGCGGAGGGCTGCCGCCCGCCCATCCAGAGGCGGCCCACGCAGTGGGGCAGGGCTGCCGGCCAGGCGCGCCTCGGAGAGTCCCGGCGCCTCAGCCGCGCGGAGCCCCGCGTTCCCGGAGGCGCGGCGGGCCTAGGAGAGGGAGATCTTGTGCGCCCGGCCGGGTCCTGGGGGCTCCTGCCAGACTGCACGTGGCCTGGCCTGCTCCCGAGCCCCGCGAGGCTCGGCCCCGAGCTGGGGCTGCGGGGGGGTCCCCCGGGCCGCATGTTTTCCACAGCGCGTTATGTTTGGAGCGGGCCCTGCGCCGCCTGTCGCCTTGGAAACAAAACACGGGCGGTGGCGCGGCCGGAGCCGAGGCCGGCTGGGGCCTGGTGGGGGGAGGGGATGTGGGGCTGGCGGGCTGTTGCCTTAGTGACGAGAGCCCAGGCGCCCCTCGGCTTCATCCGGGTCACGGCCCGTCTGCCAGCACCCACAGGACTCTTCAGTCTGGTCCTCCGGTGCTGCTGGCCTTTCCCCTGACTTTCTTTCTTGGCGGTGCTGGGGATTGAACCCAGGACCTTCAGCATGCTGGGCGAGAGCTCTWCTACTGAGCTACACCCCTGTCCTTGTCCCCGGGTTTTCTACCTCCATTCTGTGGTGCCTTTCTTCTGATTTCTTGTCTTTGACCTCACTGACCACTGTTTTAGACCTCGTTCAGTTATCATTAGGAGCTCCCAAACTCCCAAGTTTCTAGGAATGAGGGAAATGGAGGGATGGGCACACATCATGAAACCCCCCTACTCACACACTCTAATAATTAAAGAGCACTTGCTCCGCCAGAGCAGCAAGCTTCAAGCCATGTGGGCATCCACTGGGCACTATAACAAGCTAGTTTCGGCCACTCCCTTTGGCGTCCTCTTCTGCCCACTGGCATTGCCCATGCCAGGGGTTCCAGCCTTCCCCAACTGTGGCTTCCAGAAAACAGTAGCATTCGGTAGGGCTGTTTGTTGAGGCCCCCAATAACGGGATATAGAGGAGAGGGAGGCACCTGGGGGCGAGGACCATTACGGACTACCAAGAGGCAGGGAGGCCTCCAGGACTCTCCCAGTGCCCCTGGTTCCCGGAGCTGGTGATGCCTCCAGGGTGATTGGCAGCTCTTTGTTTCAGCCCCCCCTCACCCGCCTGCTGGCCCCCCCTACAACTCCCCCCTCCGTCCCTCCGCCCCCCGCTCCTGCTCTCTCCGCCTAGCCTTTCCCCTCCCAGCCGCCTGCCTGCCAGGGGTAGTGAACCGGCTGAGCGGCATGGAGACGCAGAAACTTCGGGGGGCCCTGGCTCTTCTCCTCCTTTGCTCTTTCGCATCCGCTAGTCAGGATCTGCAGGGTAAGCCTGTCTCCATCCTCCTAGACTCCTCTCTGTCTCCTCTCTATTTGCCCCCAGCACAGGTAGCGGGAGGTTGTGGGCAAGGGGAGAGTCCTGAAATTGAGCCCGGGGAGAGTTCCACTGCCTAGAGTTGGTGAAATTATGGCCTGGTGGAAAGGAGTGGGTACCAGAGATTGTTCGAGTGGGAACTGGCCAGGATTAGGCATGAGGCCAGAGCCAAGGACTCAGGAGCGGGTTGTTGGGAGTGCTTGGCTGGGTTGATAGAGCATCCACAGGCACCCCAAGGGTCAGGGAGAGCAGCCTGAAGGTTGGTGCACTGTGAGGATCCTTTCCCTTCTCCCTGGGCTCCTGGCTGCTGAAAGTCAGGGTGGGGGTGGGGACTGAGAGGTCTAGGCTCTCCCGGAGGTCTGGTGGTGGGATGGGCCTGATGGGTGTGGGAGAGGTAGCTGGAGCAGATGACACAGGCAAAGATTCTTTACTGGCTGGAGGGGAAACCACAGATTGGCCAGGACACAGGAGGCAGAAGAGCTGGGTCTTACATTCCCTGGGGGGTGGGGGAGCCCTCAGTGGGCAGCTGTTCTTATCCAGATGAGTGTGCCGAGTCCCCAGGATGGGAGGAGGTGGACCAGGGTGTGGAATGAGCCAGACCCAGCAGTGGAAAGAGAAGCTGCCTCCCATTTCTGCGCTGTGGGCACCAGGTGCCACTCCTGCCTCATACCAGCACAGCGTCTCCCTTGCGCCACCTGGTGGGGGCATCTCAAGTTTGTGGGATGGTTTCTTATTTCCAAGTGAGTCTCAGCTCTGCAGGTTCCCAGAGGGAGGTAACAGGCAATAATGAAGGAAGGAAAGATTCACTGCCTTGGCTGTCCTCTGATAACAAAAGGGTGGAGTTACACTGCTTGGTGGTGTGGTGGTGGGTAACTAGGGATGCCCCACCCCTGAGGGCTCAGGGGAGAAGGCAGGTCTTAGCACTTGACTCCTTCTTCTGACCTTGATAACCCCTGCCTGGCCAGTAATTGACCTGCTGACTCTGGGTGAGTCCCGGCAAATGGTAGCTGTGGCAGAGAAGATCCGGACAGCTCTACTCACTGCTGGGGACATCTACCTCTTGTCCACCTTCCGCCTGCCCCCTAAGCAGGGTGGTGTCCTCTTTGGCCTCTACTCTCGCCAAGACAACACGCGATGGCTGGAGGCCTCTGTTGTAGGCAAGATCAACAAAGGTGACTGGTGGGCATCTTCTTTTCTGCAGCAGTGATTCCCTTGAGTGCTCTCCCTCATCCCCACATCAGGTGCCTCTTAATTCTTCTTGACCTCCTCTGGGAACCATGGTTCCATCAGGCTGTGGCCAGGCACCAAGCAAGGGGCACAGTAGGGGTTATGGAATGCATAGTAAATCAGGAGGTCAGGTGCCCAAATAGCAAGGTGAGGTCTGGTATTTATAAGTATGGGAGGCTATACTTAAGAATGCCCAGAGAGAGGGTGAGACATCTCTGCTCCAGCAGTGACAGAGATCCCGCAGATCCCTGGACAGGTCAGTGGGTTTAGAACTAGCTGCCATCCTGGCAGAGGATAGGTTGATATGATGCACTGAAGACTAAGAAAGTCCTTGTCTCTGAACCAATTTGAAAACATTTGTTTGTATACCTATTATGCGCAAAGTGTTGAGAGATACATAGCTGATTTAGGGATGGTAACCCCAGAGATGTGGTGTCCAGAAGAGTTGATCCACGGCTCAGTGGGACCCAGGGGATGGGGGATAGTGCCCGTACTGACCTCCCCTCCCGGGCAGTGCTGGTGCGGTACCAGCGGGAAGATGGCAAAGTCCACGCAGTGAACCTACAGCAAGCAGGCCTGGCTGATGGCCGCACACACACAGCTCTCCTGCGACTCCGAGGTCCCTCCCGACCCAGCCCTGGCTTGCAGCTCTACGTGGACTGCAAACTGGGTGACCAACATGCCGGCCTCCCAGCACTAGCCCCCATTCCTCCAGCAGAGGTCAGTGGGCTGGAGATTAGGACCGGACAGAAGGCTTATTTGAGGATGCAGGTGAGCAGGAAAGACCCTCCAAGTTGTGTGGAGACAGTCTGCACCAGTGGGGGGAGGAATTGGTAGAACTACTTTACCTGCTGTCCTCTCCCCCCCCCCCAGGGCTTTGTGGAATCAATGAAAATTATTCTGGGCGGGTCCATGGCCCGTGTAGGAGCCCTGAGTGAATGTCCATTCCAAGGGGATGAATCCATCCACAGTGCAGGTAACAGAGACTCCTATTATGAGGCCATGGGTTCTGTGGTTTCCAGTGACTCTGTCCTTCTGATTTCCTTTCCCCTAACACCCATTCCTTTGGCTCATCTATTCCTGGGACTTCTGACCCAATCTTTTACCCTCAACTCCATGATCTCCTCTATGGGAGGTTTGAGTAAAAAAAAAAAAACAGGTGTCCCTGTTCAGGTCACCCAGCCTAGGCCAGAAAAGTACCATGACCCAAGAGAGGTCCAATTCTGAGGATCCCTGGGAGACAATGGGGAGGAAGGCACTTTCTTGGTCTTGGCCAAGATCCTTGTTTCAGGTTTTTGTAGGTCCTCTTGGTCTCTGTCATCTACCAGCAGTGTCTCTGAGCATTGCCCATCTGCCTGGTCTGTCTGTCAGATACTCGAAGGCTCTTATACAGGAAGAGCTCTTGGAGGAAGCTTGGGAAGGCAGAAATGGAATGTACTGGAGCCCTTGTCTTGGTTTGGGTGGCCACTCACTGGGACCCATTCTGCTACTTCCATGCCTGAGAACCAGGGGAATTTTTTTGTGTGCACCAGAGATTGAACCTGGGGTTGCTTAACCACTGATCCACATCCCCAGCCTTTTAGAGACAGGGTCTCATTGAGTTGCTAAGTGCCTTGCTAATTTGCTGGGGCTGGCTTTGAACTTCCAATCCTYCTGCCTCAGCCTCCCAAGTTGCTGGGATTACAGGTGTACTCTACAGTCCCCAACAAGAATTTGGATTTTGACTTCCTATAAGGCAACTCCCCTTAGAGGGTCAGAACTGGTGCTAGCTGGGGATGTGGTTGAGATAGAGCTCTTGGCTAACCTGTGAGGCCTTGGGTTCCATCCCCAGCACCCCAAAAGCAAGACAAAAAAATTGGTGCTGCTTTCTAACCAACTCTGCCCTTGTGCTATGTAGTATCTCATCTTTATTCTAAGGCTCCAGCCCTGTCCCCTTCTTCCTTTCTACTTCCCACCAGCCTGTCCCCCTGACCATGTCTTCTCTTCTCTCTAGTGGCCAGTGCACTGCAATCCATTCTAGGTGAGTAGGCCATGAGGTGGGGAAGGGGTGAGGGTGGGGAGGAGGCCCCAGGCTTGAGCAGCTGCCTGGAACCAAGTCCTCTTCAGTCAGGTGTGGGTGGGTCTTAAAAGGTAGGGGATGGGCAGCAGTGGCTTGTTGCCCTTGGAGGGTTCAAGGCTGATGACCCAGTTCTGAGCCTCTCCACACATGGGCCCTGACAGGAGAGCAGACTAAGGCGCTGGTCACCCAACTCACCCTCTTCAACCAGATCCTGGTGGAGCTGCGGGATGATATCCGAGACCAGGTTTGGGTGGGCCAGCCGAGGGTGCTACCAGTCCAGGGGTGGGGTGTCAGATGCTGAGAGCTGACTCCTTCCCATTTTTTAGGTGAAGGAAATGTCTTTGATCCGAAACACCATCATGGAGTGTCAGGTGTGCGGTGAGTGGGAGAGCAGGGGAGGGCTCCAGATGGCACCGCTCTGCTGCCCACCTGTGGCTTTGGCTTCCCCTTCTAACCATTTGACTGGTGATCTCTGGGTAGCTCTGACTGTCCCTGCCTCCCAGGCTTCCATGAACAGCGTTCCCACTGCAGCCCCAACCCCTGCTTCCGAGGTGTGGACTGCATGGAAGTGTACGAGTATCCTGGCTACCGCTGTGGGCCTTGTCCCCCAGGCCTGCAGGGCAACGGCACCCACTGCGATGACATCAATGAGGTGGGGGAGGCAGAGCCCACATGGGTGCAGATAATTGGGGTGAGGGTATCAGGAAGGGCCCAAGAGGCTAGGGAAATGTTGATTGGAAGCAGAGGAATCTGGGGGTTAGAAGTCAAGAGACCAGCAAAAAAGTGAGATGGGAGGTTGGCAGAAGACTGGAGGGCCACATGGAAGGAGCTGGGGAGTGGAAGGGCCGTTTGAGCAAGGGGTACAATTACAGATTGCAAATCAGAGGGAGGCTGGGGCGCAAATCAGGAGCACCATGAGAATGGAGAGGGAGAATTGTGGAGCGGAGAGAACAGGAACACTGGTTCCAGGATCATAGGCCGAGGTTCTCTGGAGAGAAGCCTCATATCTGCTTTCTTGCCCTCAGTGTGCTCACGCTGACCCCTGTTTCCCGGGCTCCAGCTGCATCAACACTATGCCCGGCTTCCACTGTGAGGCCTGTCCTCGAGGCTACAAGGGCACCCGGGTGTCTGGTGTGGGAATTGACTATGCCCGGGCCAGCAAACAGGTCAGGATGGACAGTCTGTCTAGAGAAGGGGATTCTGGGTCGGACATGGGACACTGGTGATAAATGGGGTGAGGCTGGCTTTATATTGGCTTGGGGTCTGGACTTATTAATGCTCATGATAAGGCCACACCAATGCCTTCTCCTGTATTTGCGGAGAACTACCCTTGGTCTGGTTCCACCCAAAGTCTGCCCCTTCAGGTCTGCAATGACATTGATGAATGCAACGATGGTAACAACGGTGGCTGTGACCCAAACTCCATCTGCACCAACACCATGGTGAGCTGAACACCCTGTCTCCAGGGGTGGTGTTAGAAATGTATGACCCATCATCAAATTTCCTGCTCTCTTCCTCCTTCCCTGGGGTTCTACAGAGTCCGTATTCACAGGGACCCTACTGCCTCTAACCAGCAGGGACCTTTAGCAAGTTATTTAACCTTCTCAAGCTTCCTTATTTGAAAAATGGGGCTATTATCTACTTTGAAAGATTGTCCTGAGAGCCTAAAGGAGAAACTAATATGCCCTGTTGGCTGTGAGGGCAGGTGCTATACCCTCAGGGAGGGCAGTGCCAGTCCAGGGCACCTGGTGGCCCCAGCCTCTTTCCCGGCTCTACTTTCTCTCTCAGGGATCTTTCAGATGTGGTCCCTGCCGCCAGGGTTTCCTGGGCAACCAGACCCAGGGCTGCCTCCCAGCAAGGACCTGTTTCAGTCCAGCCCACAGCCCCTGCCACGTTCATGCTCACTGCCTCTTTGAACGAAATGGTGCAGTGTCCTGCCAGGTGGGCTGGGAAGGACAAGGGAAGGAAATGTAGGGAAAGGGCGAAGACTAGTGAACATGTTTAAGGTTGGGGGACTTCGTGGAAAAGGGCGGTGGGTCTGGGCCCAGGAACTGGCTAGTGGGAAAAGTAGGGCCTAGAGAGGGAGTGGTGGGGCATGGGAAGCCATCCCAAGTTGCTAATTCCTGCTGTTTGTGTCACCCACCCCAGTGTAATGTGGGCTGGGCCGGGAACGGGAACGTGTGTGGGCCTGACACAGACATTGACGGCTACCCGGATCAGGCGCTGCCCTGCATGGATAACAACAAACACTGCAAGCAGGTGCAGGGGCCGGTGGACCAGTGTGGTGGGGAGCCCCAGGCTGGGTCAGGCCAGAACTCATCTGTTCTCTCCCTCCCCCTGAACTTCAGGACAACTGCCTTTTGACACCTAACTCTGGGCAAGAAGATGCTGACAATGATGGCGTGGGGGACCAGTGTGATGAAGATGCTGACGGGGATGGGATCAAGAATGTTGAGGTGGTCCCCAGACCGTCCTGCCCTCTGCTCTCTTCCTCCTGTTCGGTTCTCTCTGGCCTCTCCCATAATCCTGCCCCTTGACAGTACTCTAAGAAGGTTCCAGAACTCCAGATTAGGGAGCTCTAAACCTGTGGCCCCGGACAGGTGGATCTTTCCCTCTCATTTCTTGACCAGGACAACTGCCGACTGTTCCCCAACAAGGACCAGCAGAACTCAGATACAGATTCATTTGGTGATGCCTGTGACAACTGCCCCAATGTTCCCAACAATGACCAGAAGGACACAGATGGCAATGGAGAAGGAGACGCCTGTGACAACGATGTGGATGGGGATGGTGCAGGCCTGGGGCTCAGGGGCAGGCTGGGAATTTGGATAGAGGGGATGAGTCAGGGAAGCTAGGAGGTCTGTGAGAAATGGGAGGCATGCTGTGGGAGCTGGCCTGGGTCAGAGGAGATGACCAACATAACGGAGACCAAGCTCAGGAAGTTCACCAAGTTAGAAGAGTGAGGCGTGTTCTAGTGACAACTCTGTGCTTTCCCCCATGTCTTCTAGGCATCCCCAATGGATTGGACAATTGCCCTAAAGTACCTAACCCGCTACAGACAGACAGGGATGCAGATGGGGTGGGAGATGCTTGTGACAGCTGCCCTGAAATGAGCAATCCTACCCAGGTACAGGGGAGGGGAAGGGTCATCAGTGGAAAGCCCCAGCCCTTTGGATGGGAAGTGGGTCACCATCTTCAGAGTTATCAAGAGGAGATGGTGAGATCAGGCCCCTCTCTCAGACAGATGCAGACAGTGACCTGGTGGGAGATGTCTGTGACACCAATGAAGACAGGTGGGGTCTTGGCCAAGAGACAGTCTTCCAGGGGATATTTTTCTTTCTTCTAGTCCATTCTCACTTCTCTCTATGGCTCAGTCTTCATTCTCTATTCCCATAATCTCCCTTCCATTCCTATTGCTGGACCTTCACATCTGGCTGGCTGCAAGGGGTCTGGATGGAGGGCAGGCTCAAGACTCCCCTAAGCAGAAGACAGGGAAAGAAAGGATGGATGGAGGGACTTTGGACAGCAATTATTTGGTGACTGTTTTTCTGAGCAGCGATGGGGATGGTCATCAGGATACCAAGGACAACTGCCCACAGCTGCCAAATAGCTCCCAGCTGGACTCAGACAACGATGGACTTGGAGATGAGTGTGATGGGGATGATGACAATGACGGTGTCCCAGATTATGTGCCTCCCGGTCCTGATAACTGTCGTCTAGTACCCAATCCCAATCAGAAAGACTCAGATGGTAAGGCTTGCTCCAAAGAGGGTTGGACTGGTTTGGACTTTGCTCAGGGGGAGGTAGTAAGCCCTGCAGGGCAGTAAGGAAGGGCAGGTAGGGAGAAGTCAGGAATGCAAGATCCAGGAGGTGACAGTGTTGGCCATTGGCAGTGGCCAGGCCTTCCTGAGCTCCTAGCCTTATCTACCCAGGCAATGGTGTTGGTGATGTGTGTGAGGATGACTTTGACAATGATGCAGTAGTCGACCCCCTGGATGTGTGTCCTGAAAGTGCAGAGGTAACCCTCACGGATTTCCGAGCCTATCAGACGGTCGTCCTGGATCCTGAGGGTGATGCTCAGATTGACCCAAACTGGGTCGTTCTCAATCAGGTACTTAGACTCAGGGCAGTGGGCTGGGCAGGTACTGTCAGGCCAGACCACCAGGTAGGGCCTAGGTGGGGTAGTACATCTGGATCAGGGCTTTTTTCTTTCCTGAACAACCCCAGGGCATGGAAATCGTTCAGACCATGAACAGTGACCCTGGCTTGGCAGTTGGTATGTAAGGGATCATCCAGTTCAATAACTTCCAAATGGAAGAATTCTTCAGGGACAGAGCATGGGGGAGGAAAGGGAGGGGAAAGATGGGCGAAGGCAATAGAGAAGGCAGTGGACAAGCTGGCCATACATACTGCAGGCACCCCTTCCCAGCCCTCCTGCGGTGGGCCATTTGCTGCCCCTGACCTTTACCCCACCCCTACCCCCACCCCAGGATACACAGCCTTCAATGGTGTGGACTTTGAAGGTACCTTCCATGTGAACACAGTGACTGACGATGACTACGCAGGTTTTCTCTTCAGTTACCAGGACAGTGGCCGCTTCTATGTGGTCATGTGGAAGCAGACAGAGCAGACCTACTGGCAGGCCACACCTTTCCGTGCTGTTGCCCAGCCGGGGCTGCAGCTCAAGGTAACCCAGCTGCCCAGTTTCCCCAACCTAAGCCTGTTCCCAAAGCTCTCCCCTGCCAACCCCAGGGCCTCCTCTCCTGCCTGATGGGGAATCCTCAGGACTCTGGCCTGCAGGTCAGCTCTGTGGGCCTCCTTGACTCCCTTCCCATCTGTACGTACCAGCCTTGTGTTTCCCTTCTCTCTGGTCCTATGGTTGACCTAGTGTCTTTGCCAATGATCCCCAGGCAGTGACATCAGTGTCTGGCCCAGGTGAGCACCTCCGGAATGCCCTGTGGCATACTGGCCATACCCCTGACCAGGTACGGCTGTTATGGACTGACCCACGAAATGTGGGCTGGCGTGACAAGACCTCCTATCGCTGGCAGCTGCTGCACCGGCCTCAAGTTGGTTATATTCGGTGAGGAGAGGGGCTGAGTCCATCCGGAGGACCCCAGGCTGGGGCCTTTCCTTCCCTTTTAGCTGGGACTCACCAGTGACCTCTCCTCTGCTCAGTTCCTCAGTGCCATGGGTAGGGACCATGGCCACTTCTCTCCGTCTCCCTTCTCACCACAGACAGGACCTGTAGCCAGTGTTGGGCACATCATACCTTCTCTGTGCCCCATTTTTCTTCTGTAAAATAAGAGCATTGAGCTAGATGCCCTCAGACCCCAGGCCAGTCTGTACGGGGCCCATCACTTCCAACCCCCTAAGTGGCACAGCCCAGAGCCTACTTCATCAGCAGCTGACCTGGAAGGGATTTTACAGAGGCCCAGACCTCCCAGGCCTCTCAGTTCAGCACTTTGTCCACAACTTTGCAGTTCCCTCCCACAAGTGTCCCTAGTTGATGGGGACAACTTGAGAAGGGAGGGGAAATGGGTGTGCTTGGAGGCTGGACTTTTTTCATAGTCAAGAACTCAGAGTCCAGGGGCCTGGGGTTGGTGCCCCTTTAAGGTGCCTAGTGCTGTGGGGCGCCAGAGCTGGGGATAAAGGGGGGTTGACTAGAGCCTGGGAAGTGGGTGACTTCACCCCCCTGCCCATTGTGCTCATCGCCATGGCAACCCAATCCTCGCTTGGAATGCGGCTGGTGCTTTGAGATGCAAAAGGGGCTGGACAAAGAGCTAGGGGCCCCTGGCCTGAGAAAAGCACCCCCTTCCCTCCCCTTTCCTCCTCTCCCTTCTCTCTTCAGCCTGGTGAGCTCAAGGGGGGCTGGGATGAGCAGGGCCTGGGACATGGAGGCACTGTACCCACTGGCACCTTAGCACCAATGGACACCCCTATCCTGGACAGGGTGAAGCTCTATGAGGGTCCCCAGCTAGTGGCGGATTCTGGGGTGATCATTGACACATCCATGCGAGGGGGGCGTCTTGGTGTATTCTGCTTCTCCCAGGAAAACATCATTTGGTCCAATCTCCAGTATCGATGCAACGGTGAGGCTCTAGACAGATCAATCTGACCCCTCACATGTCCTGGGAGAGTCGCCTTCTCTGACCTTACTTATTTCCCCTTCTTCAGACACAGTGCCCGAGGACTTTGAGCCATTCCGGAGGCAGCTGCTGCAGGGAAGGGTGTGAGGAGGTGGCCACCAGATTCCTGATTTTAGACTCTCTGGCCTTGGGGTCCATCCTGGAGACTCTGAGGTCTAAACTACAGCCCCTCAGCCAAACATAGACCCTCCTCTGGCACCCTCAGTTCAGCCCCAGTGGGGCAGCACCCCCACTGTTCAGGGGTTGGGACATTTTCAAGGGGTATTACTCAGGTACTAACCCCAGGAAAGAAAATAGCAGATTGCCATAAAGTTCCAGTTGTTTTCTAAGCCAGTGCAATTGCTTGTTTAGGGGTTTTCTGGGATAGGGTGGGAATCAAGAAGGAACCTGAGGGCGTCAGAGGAAAGCTGGTAGGCTAGAAGTTAGAGAGCTAAGGAAAGTTTGGCTGATTTGGGTCGCGGGTGGAGAAGGTGCCAGATGGGGTTAAGTGAAGGATGAGGTGCTGTTCGGAGGATGGCTAAAGTCCTCCCAGCCCCACTTACTCACGGTGGCAGCGGCGACACTCCAGTCTATCTTAGATCAGCCGGTATCGAAAGCCAGGAGGGCGGGGGCTGCCCCCGCTTGAGGAGAGGGGGAGGCCGGGGGGCCGAGGGGGCCGGAGGCCGGGACGAGTGCAATATTGGCGGGGGAAGTAACAACACTGCACCGCGTCCCGTCCCTCCCGCCCGCCCGGGGCCCGGGATCCCACTCCCTACAGCCTGAAGCCAGCCGGGCTCAAGGACTGGGGTGCACTCTGGGGAGTTGGGTTCACCTTAGAAGCAGGCCAAAGACTTGGCGCCTCTAAGGGTGAAGGGGATGGTAAAGGGGAGGGGTAAAGGGAGAAGGGGAGACTGCGGTGCCCAAGAACGCCGCTTTCCGACGCCCGGGCGTTGCGCGCGCTTGCTCTTTAAATACTCAGACTGAGCGGCGCGGAGCCGTCACCATGGTGACGCGTGTCCCAGCAACCGAACTGAATAGCTGTTGCCAGGCAACTCCAGAGTTGAGGTTTGGGGCCGCCCACCTAGATATTCCTACTTTCTCAAACGGGCTGGTGGGGGGCCTTCCCCGCCTCCAGCCCGCTCGCGAGCGCGCGGACGTACCGCGCCCAGCGCCGCCCACGGGGTACGGCGCCGCACAAAGCGGTGCTTTGGGGGCCGAGCAGCGGGCGCGGGAGCGGTGGTCCCCCGCTCCTGTCTGGGCTTCCCTCCAGTCTCGCGCCTTGCAGGAATGTTCTTAAAGTACTGGTTTCCAGTCTGTGTTGTCGGGGCTAAGAGTTGTTTTCCCCATCCCCTCGACACTGCCTCTGTTGGCCTAGGCCACCAGCGGGAACCCCGGACCCAGCCGACACCCTGAGACCACGTGCCGCAGTGGCCCCAAATACCTCCCTTCCCCGCAAACATTTCCGGCCTTCAAAGTACCTTTCGATTCTCCCAAATGACGCACCCTCACGTACGGTTTTGCTCTCCCAACGCACGCGCACCTGCACCACTCTGCTCCCCGGAGGACAGTTGTATTCCTAAATTCCATTCTGTCACTCCACCTACTCGGTCTCCTAAATCCGCGAGTACCCTCACGGAACCTGTCCTACTCCCCCCTCCCACATTCCGATGTCCTCTCCCAGAGACCTAGACGCCCCTTCTATAAGCCTCAGGACCCCACCCACTTAGAATCATTTCCTCCAGACACCACCCCCAGCGTCTGAGTCCCCACCTACTGCCCCCGACCCCACGGTTGTGTGTGGCGCCCMCCCCCCCCCCCGCTTTCCTTCCAAGGCATTGATACTTCCCGCCAGGGCCCAGCTTCCCCAGGATCCCACTGCCCCCATTCAGTCAATGTCGCCCAACCTCCTCTCCCCTGGATCGGGGCCCCTCCGGACGCCAGGGTCGGCCACTAGAGGGCAGGAGCTCCCAGCAGCAACTGGAGGTGGAGGCTGGAAAGGAAGAACCCTAGGGTTCGGCAGAGCCCAGGTTTCGACCTTCTTTAAGTGGAAATTTCCCCCCGCCCCCTTCTCGGGAGAAAGCCGAGGAGGGAACCCAGGCTGCTGGAAAGCCCGGCCGGCCGGGGCGGGGACTGTGGGTTTCAGGGTAGAACCGTGTGTGGAACGGGACAGGGAGCGGTTAGAAGGGTGGGGCTATTCCGGGAAGTGGAGGGGGGCAGGGAGGGAGCCCAAAACTAGCACCTAGTTCACTCGTTATTAAGCACTCTTATTTCTTCTCAGCACGCAGAGTGGGGCTTCAAAGGTCCCGTAGGGGAGGGAAGTAGAGTGGCGGACCTCGGGGTAGGCCTCCTGGCCTTGCTGTCAGGGCCTTCACTAGGCCCCCCTTCTCTGCTCCCTTTCCTCACCTTAGCTGTTGTGCTGGGGCTAAAAGTAGAACGGGGGGGAGGGGGGTCACGCTCCCTAACCCCCTCCCCCACACCCACCTCCTGGAGTCAGGGAGTGGTTGGTAAAAGGGGGAGGCCAGTGAAGAACAAACAGGTTGTCAGAAGTTGAGTGATTGGAGCCCATGTACCCTACTCAGGAATGGTTGGGGAGGAGGAGGAAAAGGCAGGAGGTAAGGAAGGGGGAAGGGGGGCGGAGTTTTGTCACCTGTCACCTGCTCCGGCTGTGCCTAGGGCGGAAGGGGGGGACTGGTATAAAGCAGCAGGCGCCAGTGCCGCTCCAACTCACTGCAGTGTGGCTGGAGTCTGCTCTGCCCCCTCCCCACCAGTTCAACACCACCATGACACCTGGCATCCAGTCCCCCTTCTTCCTGCTGCTGCTTCTCCCAGTGCTTCCAGGTGAGGGGCCTGAGGTTTGGAGGGGGCTGCCCTGCTCATGTGGTATTCCTGGACTTTCTGTGGGTTTTATTTCCTGGCAGATGGCACCATGAGAGTCAGAAATTGCAGACAGGTGTGAACAGGTTGGTACCAGAATGAAGGAGAGAGACTCAGGACAGGCTGAAAAGAGGCAGCCCCCCAGGAGAGGGGGTGCAGGGGAAGAGAATGTCCTGAAGAGAAGTCTAGGAGGGAAGGGAGTCGGGAAGGGTAAGTCTTAGGAGTGAAGAAATGGACCAGCCAGGAGCAGAGGTGTATGGGAAGAGTGGGAGAGGCTGCCAGCAGGGYAGGAGGAGGGGGGCAGACCCAGGGGCTGCCCGATGCCGACCAATCCCCAGTCCTCCTGATATTACTTCTCCTGTTAGCAAAGGTTATATTTTCTCCTTGCTCTGATTTGCCCTCCAACCAAGTAGTTCTTACAATTTCTGGCTCCAATTAGGTCAGAAAGTAACCCAGTGTCCAACTGTGTTGAGAGAAGTACTGTGAGAATGACCAAAAGTTTACTCCCCACCTCAGCTCTGGTTCATGCTCTGCTGCCATTCCAGGACAGAATAGCGTTACCTTATCTCAAGTCTCCACCACTGCCCTACACTCGACCAATTCTGTGATCACTACAACTCCAAGCAGCAGGTCTCCATCAAGCTCTGCCACCACCCCAGCCCACCATGGCACCTCATCTGGAACCACTGGGGCTCTAAGTAGCTCAGCCTCCACCCCA